GGTTTCGCGTTATATTTATTTAGTTTAGTGAGTTTTATCGAAATTCACTGTTCCCTAGTCCTCATAACCTCTATATATGAGTCTCTATATTTATATAAAATCAGTATGTTTTTGGGGACAGCTATTTGACTGTTATTTACTAAATTGAAGTGTGAACTGGACCAAATCTCATCGTTCCTGTGTCCTTATAATACACGTTGCGTTTTTGTCCCTAAAACTTACCTTATATATAAAGTACATTATAACGAACAATTTTTGTGTTATATACTGAGAGTATTTCGGGAACTGAGTCCCCATAAAACACGTTACCCTAAATGGAGTTTGTTTCATTTCATTTTCATTTCGTAGAGTTGCCACATCGACCAAATGAGGATATATACATATTAGTAAAAAACATATATTATGGGAGAACTAGCGTACGAATTGTGTTTTGTTCTTTTTTAATGATCAAATGCATGCAAAATAAACCTAATCAGATTACATCATAGTTATGCAGATGTCAGCAAACGCATTTAAAATCTGTGTTCCCGAAAAATCTTCTCGCCATAAAGTGGACCAACTTTAAGATAATATAAAAATTATAGTATTTGAGGTACAGGCAAAGTGCTGGTTGGATAATGTTAAGAAAAGGTATTGTTATTTTTATTAACCCTTAGGTTTCTTCTAAGAACTAAGAATTATGAAGAATTATGAAAAGTCCCCAAAAGAGACATTCCAGTCCTAAAAATTTTAAGGTCAGTCCCCAAAAGAGCGAATTGTCCCCATAACCAACGCAGCATACAAAAAATGTCCTTATTATCGATGCTCCACATATATATATATATATATATATATATATATATATATATATACATCAATAACGGATATATATATATATATATAAGTATGTCTACCAACTTCAAGAAGCTATATCGATATTAATAGATAAGCTTTCGGGTACATTAATATCTACTTTTTTATATACATATTTATATACTAGCTGACACTTCCCGAACCGACTCTGTCAAAATTTCTTGCTTCAAATTTTAGGCATACACTTTGCAACCACTTTCCGCTCATATAAAGTTACATATTATATACGTATTGTAATATGAGTTTGAAGTCCACCGAAAGCAGAACCAAAAAGTTTTTCTGCCCATTTTATTCCCGTGAAATGAAGCTTGAAGCCGAAACATACATTTTCCTTCATGCAACCTTTGCAACGTATCTTCCAGTCATGAGGGATGGATTTAACTAAGAGAATTTATCAAGTATTAAATAAATTTCCAAAAAGATATTTGAAAAGACAAATCATTTACAGCCGATAGCATGGCAAATAAAAAATTGTCAATATTCCTTCATTTTATCAGTTTCACAGGGAATTTTCAAAATCTCTGAAACAGGTCTGCTTTAAGTTCTTATGAAGAGCTTTAAAAATCTGTTTGACCTCCGTCTTCCACCGAAGAGCTGCATTCTGCGGAAAGTGTTCACGTCTCAAATAAGTTTTCTTAATGATCTTTGCAAATGAGCATACACACTTCTTCGCCTATTCAACCTTTGACCCGCATTAGGAGTGAATCTAGCAAGCCCAATGTGTATGTTAAAACTATTTAAGCTGGACAAAGCCAAGTATTTTTGACGCACCTGCTTTTTGTAGTAGATTTGAGTGTTTGCTAAAACGATCTGTTATGTAAACTCAATGAGGGAATAGATTAAGCTTTAAATGAAAGCACACACATACTTTTGGGTAATTAATGCGAAACTTAAACTCTTCTCATAAGCATTTTGCAAAGTGCACATACTTTAAAAACAAACGCTACATAAAACCCCATCGCAAGTATCTTCTATAGTGCTTCATTTCAATGACTTTCATATCCGGCCTAACTTTGCTGCATATATCTTGTGGCCATTTTCATAGCTGAAAGGATGCACTGCGCACAGCCCAGATCCTTTCGGCCAAATGGCAGCATCTAGTTGTGTTTTTGGACCGACTGTTGAATGTGTGGCTGTTTGTCTCTGACCGGCTGCGTCTGCCGAGCTGGACAAAAGAATTAGCGGAAACAATGAAATTCGTAAAGTTTTTGAAAACCAATAAATTTGAAGTGTTTGAAATCAATTGGGAACAAATTGCAAAAGGCAAAAACGAACTCTAAATGAAAAGTGCAAAGCGCCGAGAATGAGAAAAAAGGACACCAAATGCAAAAAAAAAAACAAGGACGATTTGTGTGCATGTGAATCTCCTCTGTCTCTCTTTCTCGCTACTTTCTCTTGCCCTCTTCTTTTCCCCCATTTTGTGTGAGTGCGTTCTTGTTTGTGTGAAAATTCAGCAAGCAATTGAAAAGTTTTCAAAACAAATATGCAAAGAAAAAGGTGCTCGAGTCTGACTCGAACGCCTTCTAAGTGGCAAGCAGGAAGCGGAAACGGAAACGAACCCAACGCCATCGTCATCGTCATCGACCCACAGCCCCCGGGCGCTGGGAAAAACAGTTTTGTTTGCTAAACTTTTGTCATTGCAACGCCAAACAGCGGCAACAATGGCAAAGTAATAGACAAAGTTCTTGGCCAGCGTTATTAGAAATGATCTCGGCCCACAACCCAAGTCGGACTCTGCACAGCTCTAAGTAGGAACTACGTCTGCATTGCTTCAGACATAACATTTATCTAATTAATTTGCATTGAAAACAACTCAGAAATTGAGAAATATTTGGATAAATACTTGAATGCAACAAACACAAATTAACTAATACCTCTTTTTGCTATAAGCTAAAAGATTGAAATAAATAAAAATAGTCAGCGGCACGCAGAACATCAAATACCCTTTCGGCTATCAAAAGCTTGATTTCCTTGAGGAGCTGCTCCGATTTAATACGGATTTTCAGATATTTTAGCAGAATAGTTGACCCACAATATTTAAGAATTTTCCATAAAAAAACAATTCTTTACTTTTTTTGACGCTTCTATGTAAAACACTTTACTGCTGCTCAAAACATGCGTTATATATGGTATGCTGTGACAATAAAAGAATGCCTTCGGCAAGGGTATAAAAATAAACGCCAAATAAACCTAAAACCTTGAATACATTCGAAAGAGTGAGTGTAGCTAAGCCACATACATTTCACAAAACTCCACCGACAGTGTAAACACACTCCGGCAGAGCAAACACTCCAACGCATTCGTTGCACCTGAAGTGAGATTAAATAAAACTGCAGCAAGAAAATTGAAATGAAAATTCAGCAAGAAGGCAAACAAATTCGAGACAACTTATGGTGTTTCTCTCTCGCAAGTAGCGAATGCCAAAAATATTTCATTTATATACCTATGTATATACATATATATATAGATAAAAACCCGTTTGTATATCTGCGTATCACTACGTTCATATGCTGAGTGACTGGCGTTCCCCAGCCCCAATCCTACCCACTAACTCATCGCTCCTTGCTGCTTGTAGGCAACTCAACTTTGATGAGTTTGCAAAGTAAAGCATTTCTGTGTCTGAATCCGGTACAGCACAAAACTTACCTCTGCCACTTGGCTTCATAGCAGCAGCAGCAGCAGCAGCAGCAGCATCTCCCTTCGCGTGCAGTCGACTATATTTGAAATTATGATTAAAATAACCAAAATGATGAGCCGGATAACGAGTAAGGCGTGGAAAAGTTAAGAGCAGTTGCAGTTGTGGCTGAGAGCAGAATATCGCAGCGGAGGCAGTTGTATTTGTTTATAGGGAGATCTATTTTTCCGTATCTAGTGAGTCCCATATATGTTTCAGTATATTATCCGCATGGAATGTTTGCTTAGACAAGATTTAACCTATTATGAATTTCTTAATTACCTCCAATTAACATGCAATATCTAGAAGACCTCTTTTTTATACTCCCTTCACAAATGCAGACAGAGTTTAATGGGCTCGTCTGTCCGCATGAACACAATTTTTCTGCAACGCTTTGAAAAATAAAGTTCCCAAAAATTGTAATATCAAATGTTAGCACATCTCAACACAATAATCTCCTTTGAGTCCTTTAATATGGCAGATAGCCTTACTTTCTCAAAAAAAAACAAATCATCATCATTCTATTATATATTTATTTATTTATTTTATTTTATTTTATTATCATAATATTTTGACTATCATTACACATAACTATTATTATTCATTGAATTATTATCATAAGCACTGCCTACTAGAGGTTTGAGGGCAAACATTTAACCATAGATTAGTATCTAATCTAGCTAGTAGCTGTCAACAATTAAAAGTAGACCTAATTTAGAAAAACAGCTCGCGCGTTGCACCGGCAATAATGGGACGATCCCAGCACAGAGCCCATTGCAAATCCCCGGGCGCCATCAAATGAACACGCAACAAAGGCAACTGCCGTTGCAGTGGGATAAAGAACATGGCATGCTGCTAGGCATTTCATTAATTTTACTTCATTTTTGTGCTTTTGTAATTCAGAGACCGGCGACGAGGACGTCTGCAAATGGCTGTGCGAGGCGATGGGGCAGCAAGAGGGGGCAGCAAGAGGAGACAGCAGCTCCGCAGGCGTCGCATTTCAGCCGGAAGCGCGCGTTGTTTGGTAATTTCCTTAACGGAAGCGCATGCAGTTGGCCGTCCAGGATCGAGAACAGGCCGCAGTATGCAGGCTGTCTGCCAGCCTGGTGTCTCCTGGTCAGACGTACATATGAGAATATAGCTCACAAATTTGTTGGGAAATTTCCGCAGCCAAGATAAGGACGACTTTGTGTGCGGGCAGCGCCTTCAAAGGCGTCGCATTGCCCCTAGGACCTGCCCACATACTATTTCCAATTGATTAAGCACTTTGGCCAGCAAAACCGCAAAAGCAAAGCAAACGACCGCCCGGCTGCACCCAGCCCATTCAGATCTTGAGCGCCGCAGAAAAAAAGAGCATGCATCGAATCAAATCGAATCAAAGCGAACCGAATCGAATCGATTCGATTCGAAGCGAATCGTCCAGTTACCAAATGCAACGAAATGTGAAACACACCGATGTCCGGTTGTCCCCTTGTGGCTGGGCTGGGCTGGGTTCACGCCATGCCTCAACGCTTTAACTGCATTGGCCGGATCGCAGCAAGCCTGGGCCTGGGACTGGGCCACTCCACGAGACTCTCCACTCGAATCGCAACTTAAAATGCACTTTTGGGGGCTTTTTCATTTAGTGCGCCATAAATTAGGCAGCCGAGTTTTTGCAGCACCGGCAAAGGGCGAAAACGCAGAGCAGCGACATTTTGCACAGACGGCCAAAACCCAAATCCTGGCAAGGCAATTAATCTAAACCCGGGTCACGTCGACGCCAGCTAAGTTAAAAATTCAAGAGTCACACGACACATTGAAAAAAAAACATGATAGCTATTCGATTTATAATTGGCGCAGACTGACATTTGAAATATTATAAAATTACAATTGTACACTAATTTAATCAGATAAAAAAGCGATAGTTATCTAGCTGAGAGTAAAGTATGCCCTCTAGCCAGACCAACAACTGTTAAGTATTAAAACTTCCCAATTATTTATTTTGGAAGAGCAAAAGTGCTTATCAGAAATATCGACGCGTTTAACTGCCGATCCACGCTCAGACACCCGATGCCTTTAACGCACAATGAGAATCTAGGTTCTACGCACAAATTCCAGATAAAGACAACATCCGTAAGAGATTACAGCAATGGCTTAGCCGGACCTCATGGTAGCTAATTTCTTTTTTTGCAAATCTATAAGCTTATGATAGTAAAAAACCAACTTTAGCCACGAGTTCATCTCTTAAATTGAAACACAATTAAGCTGAGTGCTGGACACATGTCCAACTTAAGCCACAAAAGTTGTTTTAAATTGCTGCACAGCGGCCCAAGTCCACAAAACGGAGGACTACCGCAGGTTCGAGTCGGAGACGGAGTCGGAGACGTTTGCCATATAAATTCAATAGCCATGGCAATAAGTGCATTAGCAGCATATTTCACAGATTGGCAGACACGTCGCTCGGCGGCCACCATGGCCAGGCGACCAGAAGGAAAGGCAGTCAAAGAGGCTGGGTGGCCCAACCGGGCAACCGCCAGACAACGGGCCAGACAGTTGCTCGACCAAAAGTAAGCCACAAATTGCATGAGATCATAAATATTTCAAGCATAAAGTACAAAATATGCAAAAGTTTTCTTTCTATTTTCTTATGCGCTTTCCAGTTGCCAGTTGCCAGTTGCCCCGCTGCAGCTTCCTCTTATGCCCGAGATAGTAGCACGAACTAACGTCAAACGAAATAAGAAAAATATATTGCTAAATTCTCGCACAGGAAACACCAACAGCAGCAGCAGCCGGCGGGTGGACCAGGACCTTTTCACAGCCCGGACTTGGCAGCACGTGCACGCCAAATGGCAAACGGAAGTTCAAAAGCGTAAAGAGCATGTAACGATGCCAACGGCAACGGCAACGGGCCAACAACTGCCATGGCATTGGCCGAGATGCGCTTCTGTGTATGGTCAGCCGATTGTGGCAACAAATTGCAATAAGCAATTTTTCAATTTTCAATTTAGACGCCATCGACGAGGGCGGACAGCGACATGCAAAGCAGCCAAACGTGCAACTGGTCATAATTCAGAGGCAGATCCGTTTACGTCCGACCGGAGTCGGAGAATGGCAGATTCACGGCAAACCGGTAAACGCTGCGACAAGACAAATGTCTGCCCCAAAAATGATTCCGTCAGTTGACACACTGCCGGCCTCGGACCCGGACGCACAATTGATAAGTAATCTACACGATTTACCTATATACCACGGAGAACGTCAAAGGCACAGGCCCCCTTTGCGCCCGGCTCTCGGAATGCACGACGTGGATCGTTCACCAAAGCTAAACCAAACAGAACAGATTTAGGTCCGGATATTTTACCAAAAAACAACCGCACACCGGATGAACTGGATATTATTAATAAATTGTCATTCTCATTGAGCTAACTAAAATAAAATACAAAAGTTTCCATTGTTATTGGCATGCCCATTTGAGGTCTATCTATATGGGATACACTTTCGTATATTAATGTGCAACAATTGTTTATAAACATGTAAGTTTAACTGAACTGCGATCACTAAAGATTAAGTTAGCGTAACAACTCGTAAGCATGATATGCGCCAGTTTTCATTTTTCGCCAACGCTGCACAGCCACCAAGACGCCCAGGCAAAACCACATGATCAGCACGACAATGGAGTAATAGGAAATGACAGAATGTTCCGTGCCATCGGAGTTCTTCAGCAGAAAGACCATATTGTGAAAATTGTGCTCGCATTGCTTGCAGCCGTCAAACTTGATGTCCACAAAGTCGTCCTCGTAGGGTTCGCCGAAGAAGGGGAATTGACCACGCACCACCAGCACCAGGCCGAGCAAGGGAATCAGCGGGCGGCAGCGAAACATATTCAAAATTAAATTAAATTCAAATTAAACCAACAAAAGCCACTTGCGTTCAATTAAACAATTGTTTCACATGTGAACACGAAGCACAAGCGCTGGACCGCTTTTATAGCTGTCTGTGTGTGGTTATTTGAGTCGATCAGGCCTATTCCTAGAAATTCAAGAACATATTTGTCGCCATCGTGAGACTATAAACATTCCATAAAGTGAAAGCTACACTACTTCTGCTAAAGGAACTGCGTCTAGCTGGGTTATTTAACAGCTTTTAGCTGTACATTTTATACCCTATCAATAAGTAGTATAATTCAATCACAAACAGGTTACACATTACACCTTGTATTTCTCTTTTACTTTTCTACTATTTTTATTTTTATTACTCTTCTACTATGTATAAGATAAATCGAATCATAGCCAGATACTATATCATATAGCTTCAAAATGAATAAACTGTCGAAATTAAAGATTTTATAAGTTTAAATCTAGACATATTTCTGACACATGTAACATGTACGCAAGGATATATTATTACTTCAAAGACAAGCATTTAAACTCCTCGTATATTCTGGACACATTGTCGAAATTCAAGTTTCTATAAGCTGAAATCTAGAAAAGTTGCTCACATCTTTCACTCGTACACAATGATATTAAATCTTAGGTACTTAGAAGACAAGTAGTCTTCTCGTATATTCTGGAAACATTATGGAAATTTCAGTTTTTATTAGATTAAATCTAGTGGAAATTTAAGTTTTTATTAGATTAAATCTAGAATATGTCTAGATCTCTCACATCTTTCACATATGGTATATGGTAGTATTTTATCTTGTCGCAAATTCTGGACTTATAATCTTTTAATTTTTTTTAAGACAGAGTCCAAACTAACATATTACAACTACAGAGTCAATTTTTTTAAACGATTAAAAATGTTTACATTTAATCAGTTTTCTATCCAAAGTTGAATTGTTGCACTTTAGAAAAACTTTTAAGAGCTTAGGGAAAGAATGTATCTTTCTGACTAATTTACTTTTGCATCTAACATACGCTTAAAACAATTCTTAAAATAAAATTAAACGAATATCTTTTGCATGGTAATTTAACGGCATACAGCATTTTTCTCCATTTTTTGCCCAGTCTCTCGTCTACACCATATACTGTCTTATGTCCTGGTCACGCTCCCTGAGCGTATGATCTATCCAGCGCCTGTAGAACTTCACGTTGGAGTAGATGCCCAAGAGTTGAGGGCCATCGCAACGGGACGCCCGTGCCAGCAGCCCGGCGAGCACGAAGCGATCATCGCTGCCGGAGAGCGGACACATTAGGGGAATGGCACCCATGTCGCTGCACACAAAATCGTCCTTGTCGCCGCCGGTGCAGAGCAGCGTATCGTTGAGCGCAAAGCGACGGCCCAATATGGCCGGACGCAGTCTCACCGCGCACTGATCCCGCGGCAGGACGTAGAGCGGCCAACGCTTGGGCAGAGTCTCGTTCGCATTGAAGTCCGACCGCCGCCAGCCTGCCACGAAGCACTGGCTGAAGTTGTAGATTATGTGGGGCGGCGGCAGGCAAATCACCTGCACGTGTGGCGTTAGCGAGAAGGATGCGTCCGGGTTCAACAGAAGCAGCGCCAGATTATGGCCCGCCGGTGATTGTGTATAGTTTGGATGTAGCAACAGCTCAGTGACAGTCCGCTCTTGATGCGGCAATGGCTCCAGCTGAACCGCAGCATCCCATTCGCCGGCAACCAGACGGAGATCAGATGCCGTCTCGCCCTGAACACAATGCGCAGAGGTTAACACCGCCAGTGGGGTGATAAGAACACCGCTGCAAAGATATCCATCTGCTCCGTAGATGGCCACTAGCCAGGGAAATTCGCCAAAGTTGGCCTTTTGCTTTTTGTAGCCCATCGGGTTCAAGTGGAACCAGAGATCCAGACGCCCGCCGCACTGCTTGAGATGTCCCAGATAATCGTTATAGTTAATCTCGCTTTCGTTCATATTGCAGCACTTCTCCATATAGTGACAGTGCTGCTCGTCCAGGAGAGTGCGACTGCGGTCGGGATAAAAGTGGCCATCCACAAAAATACCCTCATTGCACAAATCGTAGGACACACAGTTCTTGTCTGGTGCACAAGATTTGTAGCCGGATGTTTCTGCACGGCCAATCGCAGCCGGAAAGATCAATGTCAAGAGCATTCGAATTAAAAGATCCATATTGTTGACCTATGGCTAGGCACTCGGCGTGATCTAGAACTGCGCTGTGAATTGCTCTCGGGCTTTTATAGCCTCCGCCCAGACTCACAAAAGGTCAGGCCCAGCTTTGATTGAGTTAAATATAGCTTAAAGTTCTAAAAATAGACCACTGTCGAGCAATCATAGCAAACGTCTGACAAATCAAAACAAAAGCTTCTCCAACTAAAAAAGGAAAGTTCTTGAGCACTATCAGGCAATTGGTCGTGGCCAAAGACCCTACATAAATAATTTCCAATTAAAAAGCTTGGTGTTATTTTCAATTAAATTATTCAATTTATTATTGAATATTTTATATTGGTTTTATAAGTATTATTAGACTCTCAGCAGGAGTGCAATGCAAACAAATATGATCTGTGGGTTTGTGCTTGACTCAAACCAAATCCCTGTATTTAGAACTGAAACTGATTTTAAAGCTCCTTGAACCCAGCCTTTAGATCGAACCTTGCTTGAAAAACTTTTTTTCAAAATATGATCACAACTATTGAATTTAAACCAAATTTGATCTATAATCAAAATTAGCATCTACTTAATATGGATGGATTAATGCATTGATGTTTAGGATCTAAACATTTCAAAAGATTCATATTTTTAGACATACCATTTTTGAGTGAAAATATAGAAAAGTGGTTTTAACGATCAACGAGATAAGTCAAAATATTCTCATTTTTACCACAACTTAGCCATGTTTCTTAGGTGATAAAATGTATCCAAGTTTCTACTACTAATTAAGTTTTTATTGGGGCTTTATAACTGTTTGATTAAATTTAAAATAAGATTTTGGATCCTTTGAAAGAGTATTTAAAATTCCGCACAGTGACGGCAACTGGTCTTTCTTGTTTTTGTTTACTTCTGCAACGACATCAACACGTATCCGTATCTATTACGAGGCATTAGTCGGCGAAGGCGGTGCAAGTTTTGCGTCATATCTTAATGCACAATCGTCGCTTAAGTGCACGTAAATTGAATAAAATTTCGACAAGTTTTAATACACAAGATGTGCATAGAGCATCGCAGACAGTTGGGCAACAGGCGCACATACCGATGTCAGTTGGGGTCTCCGGGTGCATGTGAATGCGGCTGTGAATACGTATACGAATACGAATACGGCTGCGAATACGTAGATGAATGCGAATGCTTCCATACAGTTCGATAGACACACAACTCAAGTGAGTGGTTGGATCTATACTTCGAGTGCTCCGGCTGCTTGTTTGACTGAGATTTACGCAACTTAAGCAGATTGTCAACGGGAATTGTTGCCGTTGACAGGCGACAAGGATATTTGGCCTGGCCCCTAGAAGCCGTCATCGTAGTCCTGCCATCATCCTATTTAATATTATGTTGTGCCTGCTGTTGTTATATAGAACTTAATTTGTTAAATCGTGTTCAAACACTTTTAACAGATGTTATCCTCAAGGAAATTAAATCTACCCAAAATGCCAAACTAAATTGTGATTTATGCAGTACATCACATCCAAACGTACTGCTCATACGCCCGGTTTATTTGTTTTGTGGTGAACATAACATATTTCCAATTAATATGAAAATTTATGATGTGCTACTGTTGAACGCATCGGAAGTTCATTTTCCATGATACTGGCAATATATTTTGTAAATTGAGTGCTGATTGCCGATTTCGAATACAATAAGAACAACAAAAACACACATTCCCATTTTGTTATGGACGTAAAATATGCAAATGCTGCAAAAAATTGAAAAACATTTAATATGCACACAATAAAATAATAACTGTTTTATTAGCTTGTTAAACGCAGCAAGACGGAATAAGTAAATATATTGACATTTAATACATAAATACATAAAAACAAACCCGAAAATAACGTATATTTTCCAATATGTAATCTTTAGTAGCACACATTTTGGAATAGTAAGAATTGCCTACAGATCTGATTTATTTTTGCCTAAAAGTAGAGTTAAAACTATCTTGAAGATAAACAGAGTAACATTCTTATTAACTCAACTAACAGGAGCTTGGTTTTTGAGTCATATGTTGAGCGCCGCATTGAGTTTACCCGAAAATCTCGCTCTTCATCTAAAATTACTCAACTGCAGTGCCAGTCCGCGCTCTCAGTCTCTCTGTTGAGTAAAAAAAAAGGGGCTCCTTTATACTCAAAGAGCGCATTTCATCGCTCAACAGCACTTTGAGTGGAGTGCAATGCAATCCTTTGAGTATTTAACTCTCTTCAATGCAGTCGGCAAAGAGAAATGAGTGCAGTTGCCGTCGCATTGAGCAGTTCTGAAGCAATCTCAAATAACAGTTTACTTAATAAAAATGTTGACAGATTATAAATCAGGGCTTAACTAATAGCGTGTCCGACTAGGAGAAACCCCAGACTAAATGAGGCTTTTCTAATTTTGGAGAGGTCTCAAATACCTCACAGATCTGTGAATGCCGTGCATGACATATTATGTCAGCTAGAAGGGTATTGGATTGGGTAAATATTATAGATCTAGGAAATCGGGGAGTTGACTTGAGTTATATTATTCAATGGAACAATTATACCCGAAAATTTTAAAACGAACGAATGCTATAAAGAACCCAGATTCTTTAGCAAAGAGCAAAAGGATGCATTAGCACTGCAATTAAGTATTTAAGTATTTAATACATAAGAATATTAAAATCAAATGCTAAAAACCCAGCTAGAGCACAAATATTTCTAATAGCATCATGCCCCTTATCACAGTCAATTTCGTCAGTTAAATTATTAGAGCCTACAGCTGAGCAAGACGGTGTTAGTAGAGAAAATAGTATTCTCAAGTAAAAATTATATTTTAGAATATACAATTAATAGGAAAAAGCAAAGAAAAAGGGAATTATTATTAACTAGAAAGGATCAAGAGATAGTGTAGGGAAATCGCCGACCCAGAGGGGGAAATTTATAGCCTGTCCGGCAAGCTATGCGCTTTATATGGCTTTTCATGGCTTCAAGCCAGGACTAAAAATTTTGAAAAAAAAATGACAAAAGAAAAAGATTGACTTCACTGAGAGAAGATGCAGATACATTTATGTTTTTGTATATAAATATATATAAGAGCTTGCTCTGATTGACTAACTGACTGACTGAGGAGCCAAGGCACAGCCCCAAGGCGTAAAAACTGCGAAACTTTTACTTTTAGGAAAGCTTGCTCTTGGGTGGAAAACAAGCACTAAGACATTTGGACGTTTTACAAAATTCAACCTGCACATCAAAAGCAACACATTGAACTTTGCAAACGAGACTTTGTGGCTAAGGTGTCGGGCTAGCAGGTGCAAGGTCCTGCAGCAATTGTCAGTTGCTTAAAATTTTCTATTAAATTTGTTGTTGTTCACAAAGTAAAATCAATATTAAAACAAGTAAAAAGTTCTAGTCGGGAGCACTCGATTAGGGGATACCCTGAACCCTCTTCTTCCAAAATTTCCCAAAAAACAGGATATCGATATCGATTTTTATCGATTGCTTGGAAACGGAGTATGTTATCGATTATCGGAAACAAACTCGATCTGCGCGGGAACTAGGAGCATCTACATCTAAAATTTCAAGTCTCTAGCTCTTATAGGTTCTGAGATCCTTGCGTTCATACATACGGATGGACGGACGGACGGCCGGACGGACAGACAGACGGACATGGCAAGATCGACTCGGCTATTGGTGCTAATCAAGAATATATATACTTGATGGGGTCGGAGATGCTTCCTTCTGCCTGTTATATACATTTGGATATTGCACAAATGCAATATACCCTTATACACATTTTTAATGGGTTCAGGGTATAAAAAAACCATGAAATGGGAAATGAAAGGCAGAGTTAACAATAATAGTTTAATTTCATCTTTTGTTTTGTCAAAATGCGTTTTTGGCAGGCACGGAGTATTCGAGTATTCATTCCACCCGAGGCTTAAGATTCGAGGCCGCGAGAGAGCAGAATACTAAACTTTTTAAATTGATACCAAAGAAATATAAATGTGTTTAAATGAATTCAAACAGAATTGTTTTTCTTTGTTCAATTGAGACGAGACAATTTATATGAAGGAAATTTAATATGAGAAATGAGAGCAGCAATGAGTTCCTCCTTCTTAGCAACAGATAGATTTTTGACCTTAAATGAAAAGAATCGGGGTAAGATCTCAATGGACATGACAACTTTGTTATTTTTTTTTATCCCAATCAATATTATTAGATAAATTACAATAACTTACAAATTAATTAAATTATAAATTTTGACAGTTAATACATTTTTTTATCAGCAAGCGTTTGCAATTGTTTTGATAATCAACTGCAATTTAAATACTTTCATAACATTATTCAGTATGGGCTTCGGCTTCTGTTTAAGTTGATCTGAAATTAGTGCGATCTAATAATAAAATAAATGATTTATTGTATAAAATATTTATATATTATATATCTAACTATAACAGCGCGAGAAATCCGTTTGGCCCTTTGTTTATGACTTGACTTCTAGATCAGTTTGTCATCTAAATCTGGCAACATTATTCTTGATCAAAATGCATCTAGAAATGGTACCCTCAAATATCCTTTATAGACATATGGCAAAATTTCCCACCGTCAAATCTCATCCGATTTTCATTAGATTTGGATTTTTGTTCATAGTTTGACATCTAGATCAATTTGGCATCAAAATCTGTCCGTATTATTCTAGGTTAAAATCCACGTGAAATGATACCTATAGAAATTCTATATAGACATCGGTCAAAATTTCCCACCCCCATAACCCGGCTAAGTCTCATCCAATTTTCACGAGTTATGGGTGATTTGACCTCTACATCTAAATCTAGCAATATTATTCTTGGTGAAAATTCATCTAGAAATTATACAAAAATGATACTAAATTATCCCATATAGACAAATATCCCACCCACAAAACTTGGTTCGGCTTTTTGTTCATAGTTTCACCTGCTAACCATCCGATCATTTTCAAAATCATTTTTAAAGATCTTTGGGAGTACTTATTTTATACGTTCCGGGCAATGCCGGAGTATTACGAAACGTAATTATATATATTATATTATATATCTCTTATACGAACATTTGTATAAAATTCAAACCCTTATAAAAGTATCTTTGAGCCAACTGTCCAAAAGGGTATTTCTTCTTTAAATTTCCAAAGATATTCGTGTCTTATTTTTAGTCTCCAATATGACAACTTCTTGGGACAGCTTAGCATCAAATTTCCGGATATGAAAATTACCCGATATTCTTACAAATTACCACCTTTGATTGAAATAAAGGCCAAAATACATTATATTTACTTTACTTTTATTCCATTTTAGATATGAATTCAAAATGTGTCGCATATTGAACATTTAAAAATAGTCTACAAGCAAAATATTATATGGAAACAAAATAAGCATACTATAAATGTAAAAATATCCGATGCACATTTATTGTATTAACTATGCAAGTATATGCCTTATTTTCATCCACCGGACTGGGCTAATGAGAACAGAACCCTTCGAAGTTCTCAGTGCAAGGCTAGTGCGGCACTTCTGGGTCTGGCACCCAATCGCTCAATCCATTCCATTCATTCTTCCATCCAGTCCAGCCCCAGCCAATTTACGCAACGTCACAGCGTATCGTTGAATAATCGCTTGGCCTTCTTGTAGTTGGGATTGATGGGTCCGGGTAAAACATGCGGCTTGAGGACGCTTTTGCCGGGCTGGCGATTCGCGTCGTATGGCAGCTGTGGCGATAGCTTCAACTGTCTATAGTAGTCACTTTTGGGATAGGCGCTGTTGCACTTCGTCATAATGCGCACCCGTTTGCTGCCGCTTCCCAATTGGGGCGATGCAAACTTATGGCGCTGTGCTGGGGTTTTGGGCGTGTCCTGGGCGGCGAGTGGATTGATCAACAGTTTGTTATTGGCCTGTTTTAGTTGCAATTTACGCGAGGGAACAAAGTAATCCTTTTCACCATCTTGTAATGGCTCATTCCAGCCGTTACTTGGCTTTGGAGTAGTTTCAGCTGGCTCAGTTTCTGCTAACGCTGTAGACTCCTGTTCGGGTCGAGCGGCATTTGTCTGCTCCTTAATCGGCTGCTTGGACTGTGCCTTGAGCTGCTGATCGGTCTGGTCCTTGGGCTGTTCCTTAGTCTGTTGCTTGGGCTGATGTTTGGACTTTTGCTTAAGCTCCTCAGCTTTCTCTTTCGATTGCTGTTTTACCTTCACTGTCTCCTGCTTAGTTGTCTTGGGCTTGGGATTTGACTCCTCGTCATTTGCGTCCACGTCCTCGACTACCCAGGCATTGTTTATGCTTGAACGCACCTTCTCATTACGCTGAACTTGCTTCTGGAGTTTTGGCGAGAGTGCCTTGCTTATGACCTGGTCGAAGTTCTCCTCGTCGACCTCTTCAAAGTTAATGGACTTAAGAAGGCGCTTCCGCTTTGACTTGCTGAGTTTTTTTAGTTTTCGTCCGGTGCCAAAATTTGATTCCTCAAACTCATCCGCCTCTGCGATCTTCTGCTCCACGAGCTCAGCCAGTGTGGTGCCTTCAGGCTTGGGCATATTACGCACACCCAAAGGAAATTCACCGCTCGCATATGTCTCAAAGATGTGCAACAGCTTGCGCAGTCCCTTACGCCGCTTGCCGTTGTATTCCTCGGTGCGAAGCAATGTCTGCAACTCGTCCAGCACACAATCAGCATTCAGCGGTAGTTCGGGCATAAGCACATCCACATTTCCCGCACGTGGATCAAGGGATGTGACCTCTTGCTGTTGCTCTTCTCCTTCCTCCTCTTCTTCTTCATCGAAGCCTGAGTCCATCTTTTCGACATCGTCTATAGAGGCGCTGGGAAAACCCATTTCCTTCCATGCCTTGTACTTCTCGCTGTATTCGCGACCCAATTCACTCTGATAGAGCAAATGGTAGAGCACCCGCGTGCGGCACTGAGCCACTAGTTTGGCGTCCCGCTGTGTACCCACATAGTGTACAAAAGGGCGCAGGAAAAGATTTACCTGATCGGCGGTGATTTCTTCATTGGCAGCCTTTGCCAGCTCTTCGAAGAACACATCCATGTAGTGCATGGTGAGCCCTCGGGATTTTGGCTGTTCTGCTAGCACCGATTGCTGCATGCTTACATTGAATGCCTGTATTAAATCCGCCGACCATTTGCTCTTCTTTAGCAAACGCAGCATGTAACGCAGCATGCGACGCACAAGCATCAGAAATTTATCCATGCGCCACTGATCGATTCCGAACCACTCCTGGCACATGGTGCGCATGAAGGCGCTGAAATAGGCCAGGCTGCAAGCAGTATTGCCGCCAAAGCTGTCTACCATTTGGGCCAGCTGTTCGGCCAGGTCCTCTTGCACCAGCGGCTTGTCCGACATCCAAACGTTATAGTATAGCCCTTTCCAAATGCGCATGAAATCGTCCTCTGTGAAGGGAAAGGAGCTGACCGCCCGCAACTGAAACCATTTTCGCAGCTTCCGGATCTGACGATTTCGCTTTGTTAAGTCATTGCATGCCAGTGCACGCACTATTTTCACCTCCTGAGCAATCACCAGCAGCTCTTTCGGCACTTTTGGCTGTGAAGCGCCGCCATCCTCAATTTCATCTCCTTTGTCTATGGCAGCCACCTGGGCACTGCGCTTTATGGGCCTTTTTCTCGTGACCATAATTGATTTTAATAAAACAACTGCAACTTTTTCCAAATTGCTCTGGTATGTATTGAAAGCGGTTGCTACGAGAGAGGAGGGCGCACGTGTTGTGCGGCCTGGTATAAATCGATTAATATTTGATGCTATGTTCGCCACGTTTTCCAACACTTGTCGAGTTGCATGTGGTCAATATAATTGATGCTAACAGATTACGCTCTACCTGCTATGAGTTTTTCGCTTGTAATTTGTGACGTCAAGGATGAATAATAGTCCCAACTATGGGTTATGGTTATATTTAACCGCTGCCAAAACAAAACTTTGAATCAGCACCCATAACTTCCATCTTTTTAAATACATAGGCTCTAACATTATATTCTGATCATTTTAATTTAATATGAATCAGTAATATTTGGTTGCGCATATCGTTACCATAACACATTTTTGGGAGTAATCTTCTAGTTTCGATATTTTTTTTTAAATGGATAATCATATATATCATACAAAATTTGTAATATTAAATTTGTAAAATAGTCTTAATACGATTTAACGAAAACACGTCGATTCGTTGTTCATTCACAAAAATTATATTGTTAAAATTGATACCGGCTTTTAATACTAAATTAAAATAACGTTGCTGGGCATCACTTTTTCCCAGCTGACATTCTAAATAGCAACTTCCACAAAATTGGCTTTAAAATTACTAAACTTTTATCTTTGAAATGCCTGTGGTAACTGTAGAAACCTCCGAAGAATATCAGAAATATATTAGCGCCGATAAAACGACCGTTGCGCTATTTGGCGCCGACTGGGCCGAGCAATGTGCTCAGGTAAACGACGTGCTCAGCGAGCTGGCCAGCATTGTGGGCGATAAGTTGCAATTCATTACGCTGAATGCCGAAAAGTTCCCTGAGATATCAATGAAACACCAGGTAACACTTTGTGCACCTTTAATGTCAGACTAAATCGAACAAATGTCTTGCTAGATCGAGGCTGTCCCAACTGTTATATTCTTCACCAAGGGTTCCGCTGTGGACCGCGTGGATGGCGTGGATGTGGCTGCAATTAGCAGCAAGTCCAAAAAGTTAGCCGAAAGTGCGAGCAGTTCTGCATCGACAGGACAAACTCTGGAGGAGCGTTTGACGGCGCTTATCAATAAGGCGCCGCTTATGATATTCATGAAGGGCGATCGGAACGCTCCGCGCTGTGGCTTTTCGAAACAGCTTATTGCTATTGTTAACGAGACAAAGTATGTACATTTAACAGAATTATGTTCAAATTTTTAAATTGACTTTATTTTTAGTTTGCCGTATGAAACTTTTGACATTCTCTCGGATGAAGAAGTTCGCCAGGGCTTGAAGACTTTCTCAGACTGGCCCACATATCCACAGGTTTATGTTAAGGGCGAACTTATCGGTGGATTGGACATCATCAAGGAACTCTTAGCCAACAACGAGCTGGAAGCGTCGCTTAAGGGCTAAGCTAAGCGAAATAAGGAACAAACATCGCTTCTAACAAACTAACAATGTCCAACTTTTACAAGCAAAAATAAACGAAAACATAAAATTTTTGAGAAAGCAGATAATGGCAATACTTTTAACAGCAAATAATTTATATCTAGAACTAAAATGATTTAAAATTTGATTATATGTTCGTGTACTTTTATTGCCAAGTGTAATCCAAATGTCTGTATATGTGAATGCTTTTGAGGCATTTACGGTATGCAACACTGCTTCAATGATGCTTGGCAGCACTGACAAATGACTATCAGCTGGCACAAGCGACTTGCAATTAGTTCTACGAGATAAAAATTGTTTAAATTTGAGATTAACAAAATATGGCTGAAGCCAATGCTGCTGCAACAACTAACGGCGAGGAGAAAAAGCTAACTGACATATTTTTATGTGGCTGGAACCTGCTAGACGAGCTTGAGGTCACCGAGCTACCTTTCAATGGCCATGAATTTCAGGTGAGTGTAGACAAACGCAACTAAATTACAGATATATACAAATAATTATTATTTAGAATAAAGTGAAAACAGCAATGGAGTATTTTGAGCAAGCCACTGTCATTGTCAATCAAGTGAGCATGTTCAGTCCCAATGAGCTGATTGACGAGGTGTCCACGGAATCGCTGCCCTTTATGCTGTTGCCATACTTCCTGGGCAAGCTCAGCACGAAGATTAACAATCCAAATAGCACAGAAGCCCTAGAGTTAGGTGAAGTCTATTTTAAAGATCATCTTCAACGCTGCCAGGAGTACGAGCTTTGCGAAGCGCCCAGGAGCAAAGCGGAGCAGGACAACAAAACGGATGCAGCGCAGCAAAGAAGCGAACAGCGCGAACTAATAGAGGCGGCATACAATCGGAATGACAAAATCGCACAGTACCGCAAGATGAAGGACATTGACGAGTATATGTCCCGCATGCGTTATGCCGTTAAGAACAAGACCGCCGATGACGAAGTGCGCCGTGAATTCTTTTTGAAGTATTTGGATAAGAGCATCATGGATGCCAAGCAGGAGTTGGAGAGTCTGCGCATGATGAAAGAAATGGTTAAAATGCGTCTCGGACGCATGAAGGCTGGAGCACAGGAACAGCTGGAACACTCAACTGCAGAGCAGCAGCCAAGAGCTCACGGCGGGCACGGTCACAGCCACGGACATAGTCATGGACATCATCACATAGAATCAAAGCCAAAGCCGCTACAACCATTTATTATAACACGCAATGCCGCACAGAAGGCAGTTTTCGGCTTAGGCTATCCTAGTGTGCCCATCATGACCGTGGACGAGTTTTATCAGCAACGCGTAGACGAAGGCATCTTTCCCGACGAGCAAAAAATGGCGAAGATAAATCAAGAAAAGGCAATTGCAGCCGCACTGGACCCCAACGAGCAGGATGACGAAGAAAATGCTGTTGTGGAACTCCAAGTGGAGAATGACGACCCAGAGTATTTGGCGCGTATGCGGCGCATGGACGAATACAAGGATGTGGTCCGTCGTGGTGATGGAAATCGTCATAATCGTAGTTAAACTACATTCTCAACTAAAAATTAATCATGCATTAAAGTATTTTGTATTTTTTAAAAACAATCAATGTTTGAGTCTTAATCCAAGTCATTGGAAAGCCAATTTTGAGCCACCAACTTGATGAAAAAAAAAAATGGAATAAAAATCGCCATTTCAACAGCAAGGCAAATGCACAAATGAAAAAATTAATAATAATTGAAAGGCAACAATAAAATAAATGAAAATTAATGGGAGTTTTTACAATAATAATTAAGATTTTATTTGCTTTTGAGCGTATTTCAATTCGAAGGGTTTTGTTTTCTTCTCGCTACTTAATTTTGTTAATTACAATTATTTAAATAATATAATTTAAGTATTTTTTAAGATCTCCACAAAAACAACTAAAAATCCACATAACGATACAGAAAATGGGCAGAAAATTGTTCCGAATATAATCTAATTTTACTTCCCGCCTTATTGCAATTTAAAAGTAAGTTATTTTTAGAGATATTCCTGCTATGGGATTCTGATGAATCCAAGTTCATCTTTGAACGCTTTGGTGACAATTGTCACATATATGTATGTATTAAATAGTGTTGGAAATGTTATCAATATTATATTTGTACGTATGCATTTACATATGTACACATTTACAAAGTTATGTATGCATGTGTGGAATGTATATATATGCATATGCGTTTGTGTTTGTTCTTTTACACCAAACGCAGGCGAATCTTACTTGAAAACTAAAAATAATAAAAAAATATCTGTTAACAGTTAGTTGCATTAGTACTTTCGGTGATGTGAATATGTCTGTCGGCCCTTTTATAAAAATTGGCAATAAAGTAATTGTGTGTTAGTTATACAGATATGTATATTTATATATAAATACGAATACTTGTTAGGCAATTGGCACGCGCTACCCAATAGCCTAATAATATAACAGCATTATATTAAGGAAACCGTTACACAGTTCTCAACACATATTTTGGATTGTTTTTCTTGATTAAAAAAAAATGAGAGCCCAATAACTTATGTTTGAGTTAAGTTGGGTTTTGGTATTTGTCCAATTGGTAATATTCCAGTCAGTATTTTTATGAGCGCATGCGGTCACACTGTATTTCAACACCAACCAACAACAACAACAACATAAAGACAAGACACTCAAAAAATTTACATTTTGTTAAGAGCACACCATCTGACACAAATTGAACATTTAAATTGTAAACGAACCAAACAAAACGCTCGCAAAGCAACGCACAATTGGGCAACGGGTGTATATGTTCGAATTTTAGAGCTGTAATTTGCAATTGGAAACCGAATCGATACCATATCAAGCACACGAACGGGTAATAAAAACAACAAGCACAAGCATGTCTGTCAGTGATTTCATTAAAGGTTTACCTATACACGATTCCAACAATTTTACACACCTGAGCAACGATCACGGCATACGAACGTCGCAAAAGCGCGCCTCTGTCTATTTACCCACAGAGGATGGGCAAGAACAAGCTCAACTGATTGTGATGGATAAGAGGTGTGTGCTACTAAGGTACCTCACACAGCAGTGGGACAAAAAGACGCTACAACGGAAACGAGAGCACGGCAACGATGGGAGCAGTAACAATACCAACAGCACCCCGAATGGCAACAATAGCAAAAAGCGCCCACGCTTAGACGCCAATGAGCTCAACTGAGGCAGGCACACACTTAAACATGCATAATTCACAACTAAACTCTGTTAAGAGCAAGCACTACCATAAAACATTAAGATATATCCCATTTATGTTTAAAATAAATACGCTAGAAAGTAACTAACTGGAACCGTATATTATATTGGTTGGCGAATGGTTCGATCAGATAATGAATCAGCCCATCGGGCTGATGGCTCGTAAATTCTCATTATTTCAAATAATAGATCGATTTCTATTAACAGCCAATATATGCTCGTGTTTGCCCAATGGTTTTTTTTTACTTCAGAGACAAATATTGGATTTGACTACATTATTTTAAAGCTAGTTTAATGGTGTCCCAAATCCTTGGGATCTGGCTTGCCATATTGCTTCTCCCACCAGACC